GTCTTTTATTTCATTTTCTTGCCCAAGCGCCCTGGCTAGGACTTCCACACGGTGTTGACCAGAAGTGGTGACAAGTGCCTCACCTGGAGCAGGTGCAAGCCTGGCGATGGTGGCCCGTCTCTGTCCCTCCCTCCCTCAGCCAGCAGAGTGAGCCCTTTGAAGCGTAGCTCAGCATGTGACGCACCTCTTCTCAGAGCCCGTGGCTGCATGCTCTGCCCAGTGACCCCCTACCTTCACCTTGGGGACTCTCTATGCTCGCTGTGCTCGGGCCATGCTGGGCCACCCACTGACCCCAAACCTCTCCAACTCCTTGTCTTTTCACTCCTTTGCTTCTTTCCCAGATTCCTACATGTCTTATTCCCTTATTTCCTTTGGGTCAGTGGCTCCCATATTTTTTGGTCTCGGGACAAGTTTGTACTCTTACCACTTATTGATGGAGACCCTACTTCTGGAAAGATGGAGTAGATATACTTTCCCTATTCTTCCTAAGTACAACAAAAACCTTAGACGCTATATATAAATACAACATAAGAAGTCTCTGAAGAAGACAGACAGACTAGGGACCTCGGAACCCAAGGAATGGCCAAGCAGTAAATCCGCTGAGTTTTCTTCTCCTTCCCGTATCCCAGACTGGATGCTAGAGAAGCTGGCAAACCAGAAACACCAACCTGTGTGGACCAAGAGAGCGCCAAGAAAAGCCAGCTGTCTCTGGCCATGGGACCAAGAAAGGGGCAGCCAAGGAGGACCGAAAACTTTGAGACAATAACAACCCTGCCCAGCCAACACCACTGTCCAAGCAAAGGGTGAGTGGGGAGCTGAGACCTCCATCCTCAGCTGGCCTTAGTGTGCGAGCCCTTTTTAAAAAAGTAATTTATTTAAAGTAGGCTCCATGCCCAATGTGGGGCTTGAGCTCATGACCCTGAGATCAAGAGTTGCATGCTCCAGTGACTGAGCCAGCCAGGTGCATGCAGTCAGAGGTGCACTTACCACTCTCGGTGGTAGTACAAACCCCAGTGGAGACCACCCACGTGGATACAGTCGCAAGATGCTCATGCCCCTCCCCCCCAGCCACGGAGGTGAGAGTGGAGGCCCAGTGGGGAGCACCTGCCGGGCAGCAGTGAGGAGGTACTCTCCCATCTCCCACTGATGTGATGTACGAAGATGCCATTTAAAATAAAAGATTTAAATAAGATCCAGAGTCTTATAATACTCAAAACGTCCAGTTTTTAAGAAAAAGCACTTGTCGTACCAAAACTCAGGAAGATATCAAACCAAATTTAAGAAGACAATCAATAGATGCTAACACCAAAGTGAAAGAAATGTTAGAATTATCTGACCAAGATTTTAAGCAGCCATGTGAACATGCTTCAACAAGCACTTCTGAACACTTTCAAAACAAATATAAAAAACAGAATGCCTCAATAAATGGAAGATATAAAGAAGAACCAAATGGGAAATTTAGAAGTAAAAAATAAAGTAACTGAAATTTAAAAACTGAATGGATAGGCTTACTGGCAATGGAGAGGACAGAGGATCAAGCAGCTGGAAGGAAGAACAATAGAAATTACCCAATCTGAACAACAGAGAGAAAATTGACTGGAAAAACAAAATAAAACAGAGCTCAGGGACTTGTGGGGTTATAACAAAAGGTCTAACATTTGTGTTAATCAGAGTCCTGGAAGGAGAGGAGAAGGAAGGCAGCTGGAAAAGCACCCACGGAAAGAGTGGCTGAAAGCATCCCGAATACGATGGAAGGCAGATACATACAGATTCAAGAAGGTGAGCAAATCCCAGAGTGAATAAACCCAAAGAAACCAAGGCCAAGACACATCATAAGCAAACTTCTAAAAACTGAAGTTGAGTACAAATTGTTCCATGCAGGGCAGTTAATACAAGAGAGGATTTCTCATCAGAAACCAGGGAGGCCAGAAGGAAGTGACACATTTTCCAAATACTAAAAGAACTGTCAACCCAGAATCCTCTATCCAGCAAAAATGTCCTTCAGGAATTAAGAGGCAGCCAATACATTCTCAGATGTGGGAGAAATAAGAGAATTTGTCACCAGTAGACCCACCCTAAAAGAATAGCTAAAACGCATTCTCTAAACAGAAAGGAAATGATAAGAGAAAGCATCTTTGAATACCAGAAAGGAAAAAATAACACAGACAGCAAAACAAGTTGTTAAATAAAATAGAACTGGGCCTTCTAAATTATGTTTGGTGGTTGAAGCAGAACTTAACACTGTCTGATGTGGTTCTAAATGTACACGGAGGAAATGTTTAGGGCAATTATATTTTAAGTGGGAAGGGTAATGGGATGCACTTTACTTGAACTGTTAAAATGACACCAAAAGACTGTTATAAGTTATGTATATGTAATGTCATACCTAGAGCAACCACTAAAAAGCTATACCATAGACAAATACCAATGGTCAAAAACAGCATAGATAAATAAAAATGGAATTATAAAAAATGTGGTAACTCACAGAAAGGCAGGAAAAAAAAGGAGAGAAATTAAAATTAGAAAGAACAAACAGAAAACAAAAATAATATGGCATACTTAAGCTCTGACATAGTAAAAATTACGCTAAGTGTAAATGGTCTAAGTATACCAATTAAAAGACAAAGATTGAAAGAGTGGATAAAAAATACATGCTGTCTACAAGACTCTCACTTAAAAAATCACCTATAGGCAGGTTGAGAGTCAAGGGATGGAAAGAGATAAACAAAGCTGTACATATACATGCAAATATTAACCATAGAAAAGCAGAGGCAGCTCTGTTATTTTCAGATAAAGTAGACTTCAGAGCAAAGAAAATTATCAGAGAGGAACATTACATAATGAAAAAAAGGGTCAACCTACCAAGACGACACAGCAATCCTAAATATGCGTACACCAAACAACAAAGCTACAAAATACGTGAACCTAAAACGGGACCAAAAGGAGAAAGAGAGAAACCCAGAGCTCTAGGTGGAGACTTCACCACCTCTCTGTCAACAACTGATGGGAAACTAGATAGAAAATCAGCAAGGACAGAGAAGGACTCAACAGCCTGAACCCACAGGATCTACTGGACATTGACAGAGCACTTCACCCAATGCATGTTCTTTCTGAGCGCCCACGGAACACACGCCAAGATGGACCGTATCTTGGGCCATAAAGCAAATGTCAGTGAGTGCAACAGAACTGAAAGGCACTAGAGTGCCTTTCTCTAGTGACAGTGAAATCACACTAATCAGTAACAGAAAGAGAACAGGAAACAACACTTATTTTAGAGAGGGAGTCTCAAGGAAAGATTTTTAAATGAACCAAACCCGATGAAAATGAAAAAATACAACATACCTAAATTTGTGAGCCATAACTAAAGCAGTGCTGAGAGGGTAGTTTATGGAAGTAAATGCACCGGGCGCCCGCGTGCTCAGTCAGTTAAGCGTCCGCCACCAGCTCAGCTCATGGTCCCGGAGGCTGGGGCGGTGGAGGGAGGGTTGTTGAGGCCCTGGGGCAGGGGGCCAAAGGTACACATTTCCAGTCCTACCGTGGGGAAAGTCCTGGGGTCTAGTGTGCAGCATGGTGATTGTAGTTAATGATACTGTGTTGCACAACCAGAAGTTTCTAAGAGCAAATTCTCATCACATGAAACAGTAGCTAAGTATGTGTCACAGATGGGGACACGGAGCCCATCCCCTTGCTGTCTGTGTGAAGGCACTGTGTCATATACCTGAAACCAACGTCCTGTCACTTACAGCTCAGCTGCACAAAGGGCCTGGTGAGGCCGTGGGTGAGGGGCTGGCGCGTGGCGGGAGGCGGGGGGAGCAGCAGGGCCTGAGCCGGGCACCGTGACACGTGAGGCTCGCTCCGACAGTTTCTACCGTCTCTGCTCAGTGCAGTCCCAGGGGAATGCTGTCCTGACGGGGAGCTCACGGCCCCGGCTAACTCCGGGCAGAACCAGGTTCGACACGGATTCCAATTCCCTCTCTTTGCACTGGAGGAGGTGGAGTCAGCCCCATGGGTGGGCACCATGTCACACAACCCCCGCCCACCCGTGCCACTCCCAGGCCTCTCCTGGGCCCAGGCGCACCCGTCGGGGGGCTGCAGCCTGCTCAGGCCTCGACCCCGCAGCAGAGCCGGCCGAGTCTCTCCCACCGCTTTCAAGCTGGTGTGGGCGTTGAAAGAGCCCATCCGTCCAGAAAACCCCGGGCCTCCCCCTCAGCAGGCCCACGCACACCCGAGCATGCACACACACACGTGTGCTCATGCTGACGTGCACTCACACACTCGTCCTCCCCAAAGCCCCGGCTGAGCACACGGGATGCTCTCTTGGATGTGAAGCTTCTTCCTTCGCACGATCAGGGGGCAGGGATGACCGCAGGCCGAGTGCACAGAGCTGACCTGGGAGGGCCCAGCGCCCCCCCTCTCCGCACAGATGCCCCCGTGGCTCTCCCTCCGTGTACGTGCCCTAATCCAGCCAGCCGACTGCGTCAGACACAGGGGTGTGCTGGTTGGGCTGCCCAGACCCCACGCCCAGCTCTGCCCATGCGTGGCCACTGTCCCACCAGGGCTGGAGGACCCGAGCTGCAGGGAGCACAAAGGACACAGGGAAGAGATTCCAAGCAGGCTTCAAGGACAAGGGGCCCAGGTGTGGCCTAGAGGATGGGGTGCTCATCAGCCTCTATGTCCTTACCCAGGCCTTTCCCTGAGTCTCCAGGAGGCCAAGGACGGTGTGCTGTGGGCTCAAGATGGCGGGGCTCTCGTGAAGAGGGGCCACGGAGCCCCTGGGGCCCTGCTGGCATGGCTGGAGCCCCGGCAGAGGTCAGAGGAGCTGTGTGGGCTTCCAGGGGCGCAGACCAGCTGGGGAGCAGGGGAGGCTGAGGAGCGGGGTGCACCAGGCACAACAGGGCCGAGCAGCAAGGGGCTGCCTCCCAGGCAGGGTGGGGAGGCCTGGGTCAGCCTCTTCTGGGGGCAGGGGCGGGGCGGACAGAAAGGAGGACACACAGACAGGCCCGAGGGTAACTTCGTTTATGGGTCAAGCCAAATGCAATGCAAAGTTGTTTTGTTCTTTTTTTTTAACCAAAATAAATAAATCAGATCTGTCCCTGTGATGGGTGAGGGAAGCGACCCCTCTCCTCCAGCTGCCCGTCAGCCCCAGCACTCCTCTCCCCTCCTGACCAGCTGTGGCGTGGCGGCACAGAGAAGAACCCTTCCGCCTCCACGGTGTTGGAGTGGGCCGGCCGCCCGGGCGGGCAGGCGGGCAGCAGCCTGGCCTGAGCCCTGAGCCCTGAGCCCCAGGTGGCCCGGGACCCTCTCGAGGGGTGGGAGTGGACACTGCAGAGAGCGGACCTGCCCTCTCTGTACCAGGCCGGGTGCAGGCCCCCTCCTGCCAGCCGCCCAAGCGGTGCCGCGGTTCCGCGCGCAGGGAGAGCCCCACCAGAGCCCGGCCCACCCCGCAGGTCTGGACAGTGACGGCCGCCTCCGAGGGGCCTGGGGCTCGGGCTGGGAAGAGACGGCCACCTCGTCCAGGCGCAGCAGCCCCCTTGCTGGGCGACCCAGGACGGCCGGTACCTGGGAGGCCACACGAGGCTGGTCCTGCGGGGGCAGCGGGAGGCCTGGGGCACAGGTGGCCCTCCCAGGACACCCGCAGGGGCTCCCTCTCCTCCTGCTCCCCGGGCCTCCACGAAGGATGCTCGGCTGGACGGAAGTCACAGCGCCTGGGGGCCTCTGGCCTGGGGGGGGCAGCCAAGCACACGGGGGACAGCGGCCTACTGGGTACGCGGGCGAGGGGGAGAGCGGTGCAGCGGATGGGCGGAGGTGGGCAGCGCTGAGGCACCATTCTTTAGTTGAGAAGCGAGGGGCTGCCGTGGCTGCGGAGGCAGAGGCCCAGGCAGCGTCTACGAGAAGTTCTTGAAGGCGTCCAGGTCGAAGGCCGTGTCCAGGAGGCGCTGCAGCTCCGTGAGGTGGGTCTTCTTGTTGCCGGTGGCTGGAGCGGCGGCGGGGTCCCGGCCGGCATACCTGAGGGGGTGACAGCGGGCGTGAGGGCCGAGCCACGGACGGCCCAGCCCCCGCGGCTCTCCGGGTCCCCACGCACCACACGGGCTTGGCGCGGTTGATGGTGGTCCGCAGCCTGGGCTTCACGTAGTCGTAGTAGCCCTGGTTCTTGTGCTCTTCCTGGCACCAGCCCAGCTCGGCGTTGGGGTACTTCTGCACCTCCCGCAGCAGGAGGTCGAAGGGGAATGGGGAGAGCTGCGGACAGAGCGAGGGGTGCGGTCAGGGGGGAGCAAAGAGCGACCCCGGGGGGATGCTCCAGAAGCTCTGAGGCGACTCGGGGGCCCTGGCCGCGCACCGCCCACCCTCACCTGTTCGATCCTCGTGATGGCCACCTGCTCCGCCATGCCCCGTGCCTTCCGCTCCCGGGTGAGGTCATAGTACACCTTGCCCGTGCAGAACAGAAGTCTCTTGACGTTCTCCGGGTTCTGGGCCGCAAGGCCATCTTCTGGGATGACCCGCTGGAAGTGGGTTCCTACGAGAGAATCCCCGCGGCCGGGGTTGTCTCAGGACTTGGCGGAGGACACCCGGAGTCCTCCCGCTGCTGCTGTGCACGAGCGGGGCCCCCAAGGCAGGGCCATGACACGGGCAAACGCCACAACACGCAGCTGCCAATGTGCACCAGCCCCGGATGCCGCCGAATCCATCCAGGCCAAGAGAGCCTTGAGAAGCACAGGGTGCGCAGCGCACAGTAGGCCAAGGCCAGCTGCGGACCGCAAGCGACGCCAGTTCCTTCTTCCGAACAGCCCATCCCGGAAGTCCAGGGCAACGGAGTCTGATCCCTCTGCTCAGGCTCCCCCCGAGGTTACAAACACTGAAGCCTTCCGCACAGATCCCCACTGTCGGCGCCGGGCCCCACAAGGGGAACGAGCTGCCTTCCGGAAGCGACGCCCAGCAAAGGGTCTCCCCTGGTGATGTGCACTCCCCCCCACGCACGTTCGTGCCACGGAGGGACACTGCCCCCACGGGATAAAGGCCAGATGTGAAAGGCCCACAGCAAACGTCATACTCAGTGGTGCGAGACTGAGCTTCTCCTCTAAGATCAGGAACAAGACTGGGAGGCTCACGTCACTGCTCGCATCCAGCCTCGCACTGGAAGTCCCAGCCAGAGCAGCTGGGGGAGAAGATAAAAGGCCTCTAAATTGGAAAGGAAGAGATAAAATTATCTGTGTGTGGATGACATGATCTCATATGTAGAAATCCCCAAAATTAGAATGAACGAACTCAGCAAAGTTGCGGGATAAAAAAATCAACACTCAGAGCACAGATGCATTTCTGCACGCTAAGGACGACCGATCCAAACACAAATAAGAAACTCCATTTGCCACAGCATCAAAAGGAATAAAATACTGAAAAATAAACGAAGACAGGGAAGACCTGCACACCGAAAACTGCAAGGCGTTCTGGAAGAAATGAAAGACACGAGCCAACCGAACAGCTGTGTGTTCACCCGCGGGCAGGCCCGCTGCTGCTATGACATCCACGGGCCCCAAAGTGGTCTATGGATTCAGTCCGACCAAAAGCCCAGTGACGTATTCTGCAGACATTGAGAAATCCATCCTAAATTTCATGGAAGTGCAAAGGCCCCCGAATAGGCGGAGCGATCCTAGAACAGAAGAGCGAGGCTGCGGGAGGCCCAGTTCCCGACTTCAGAACCCGGCACGGAGATGCACAGACCGTTCAGTGGGGAAAGAGAGGGAGTCTTCCCGGCGAACGCTGGGAAAACTGGACGTCCACGTGCAGGGGAAGGACCCTCACGCCACACACGAAAATTAACCCAAAATGTGCTAAAGACTTCAACATACGAGTCACCACGATAAAACTCTTAGAAGAAAACAGGGCAAACGCTTCACGACAGCGGATGTGGTAGTGACTTCCTGGAAGTGACGTCAACGGTGCCAGCAACAAAAGAAAAAAATAGACTTCATGGAATTTTAAACATTTTGTGCATCAAGAGACAACATATGGGGGGGTGGCACCTGGTGGCTCAGTCGTTAAGCGTCTGTCTTCGGCTCATGTCATGATCCCAGGGTCCTGGGACAGAGTCCCGTGTCAGGCTCCCTGCTCAGTGGGAAGCCTGCTTCTCCCTCTCCCTCTGCCCCTCCCCCTCACTCACTTGCTCGCTCGCTCCCTCCCTCTCTCACAAATCAATAAAATCTTAAAAAAAAAAAAAGGAGAGCACACAGAATGGGAGAAAAGAGCTGCAAATCATCTACCTGATGCTGGATTAGTATCCAACATATAGAAAGAACTTCTAAAATTTAACAACAATGCAAACAACCCGACAAAATCAGGCAAAGGACCCAAAAGACACTTCTCCAAAGCAGATGCATGAGAAGAGGCTCACCATCACTCATCAGCAGGTAAATGCAGGCCAAAACCCCAACAAGGGGTCCTACTTCATGGGTGGTAGGATGGCCGTTATAAACAAAAACCAAGGGCTGACACGGATGTGGAAAAGCTGGAACCCTCGCCAGTGTTAGGTGGGGAAATAAAAAGGCACAGCTGTTGGGGAAAACAGTACAGAGGTTCCTCAAAAACCTAAAAACAGAATCACTGTGCGACCCCGCAGTTCCACCTCCGGGGATATGCCCAAACGAAGAGATATCCGCACACCCACGCTCACAGCAGCATCATTCACAGCCACTCCAAAGTGGAGGCAACCAATCTCCACCGATGGACAGAGGCCAAGTGGTTCATCGACACGCTGGAATCTTAATCAGCCTTAAAGCGGGAAGGGGTTCTGACACCTGCTGCGACGTGGGGCAAGGAGCAGACACAGGGGGACACCTGCCGCACACCCGCACATACACGCGGGGCCTCTGACAGCTGGGACCGGGGACAGAAAGTGGGAGCTCTGGAGGTGGCCGCAGAGCTGTGTGAGCACATGCACTTAGGGCTCATGAGCTGCACACGTAAAAACACCTCTGGTTTAACTTTTATGTGTATTTCACCGTAGTAACGATAAATGGGAAAACGACCCAACCAAGGAGAGCTTCACCTTGACTGACGACTAAGGGGGCTCCACGGCTGGGAGGAGGGGGGCTCCCCCGGCCCAGTGAGCCCGGGGACACGCGGCCGCTCCGTGCTGTGTCCGCGGCCTGCCGTCCAGGTGGGGACCTCAACACTGTGGGCCTCACTGCACGCCCTCCGGGAGCAGCGGCCGGGCAGCGGGGCTACTGTGAGCTCAGACTTGCTTCCCCGCCTCTAAAGGAGGCCTGGGGCGCACCCAGGTGAAGGCCACAGACGTGGGTGGGGCGCAAGACACTCCCTCTAAGCACCTCACAAGCAAGCTCCGACCCGTGGGCTGCCGTGTTCACTGGTCTTCATCCAACGACCGAAACGGTGGCCACAGTGAGAGGCTCAGGAACAGGCCCCAAGCCCCACAGAGCGGCAGCCTGCCCCACACCCACCTGAGAGCATCTCGTCGAAGCTGGTTCTGGCCTCGGGGTGCCGCAGCAAGGACTTGGGGGTGAAGATGATTAGCTGGAAGAGAAGCACAGGCCCGCGATGGATCAGGCCCCACGGTTCTGGCAGGAAGCCCAGCAGCATGGCCCCTGCGTGTCTCCAGGCTGGGGACCTGGTCCCGCGCTCTCAGCTCTGCGGGCGGGAGGGGCCGGGACACTGCTGCTTCCCGTGCAACTGCATGTGCACTCCGCCAGGATGTGTCCCAGCCTGCTGAGCCCTGGTGCCCCTGCCCTGGACCCGGGAGACAGAGCCCAGCCTCTCCGCGGGGTCCCCACCCAGGGCCGGGGCTGTCTCGACCGGTGGGCCTTTCACACACACTTCTACTCACCATTCCACGCCCTGCCCGGGAGCCTGCTGGCGGGGACCCTGCGCAGCCCTCGTCCACGCTCGGCGCCCCACCGCCCACCACCCGCTCACATGGCCATCCTCCCACTGGGCAGGGACGCCCCCAACTGACCGGCTTCCGGAAGGGCAAGAGAATCTGACGCCGCAGCACGTGGAAGAAGTTGCCGGGAGTGGAGCAGTTGACGACAACCCAGTTGCAGTCGTACAGCTGGTTTATGTCGAAGTTGGCTTCCTCCAGGTTCTGCAGCTCGAGGGAGAGGCCGGGGGCGGCCGACTGAGCCCCTGCCGCGGGGCTGCCCCAGCTGCCACGGGGACCCCGGCAGGAGCTCACGTGGCGGGGTCTCTGTCCCACTCCATCCCTCCCACTCCTCTGAGAGCACAGCCACGCCTGGACCTCGGGTCTACCTACAGCCCAGCCTGATTCGCTTTAGAGACCGACTCCTGGTCACCCTGTGCCAAGTCCTAATGCTCCACTGAACCCAGCCCAAAGATGCCCGAGTTCTTTCCTCTAAGACGTCTGCCCGAACCCGGTGCAGACAGCTGCTCCTCACGCGGCAGGAGGGGGACTCTCACTTCTGGGGGGCCAGCTGGAGCGCCCACCCATCACCCCCCGAGGCCTGGGCGCGGAGCCACGGTGGCTGTGGGGTGGCCGCTCTGCTCACCGGCAGGACGTCCGGATCATCATTGCACATCTGCAGGAACCGCTCCGGCCGGGCGGAGGAATGTTCCGGGCCCTGGAACCACACACAAATTACGGTTCGGGGGCTCTGCAGAGGTGGGCGGTGCACTCGCCACATCTCTTCCTTAACGGACCGGGGTCACTCCTGGTCTGAAAGGCGCCGAGCTGCACTGACCCCACTAGTGCTTCAACCACCCCCCTGCCCTCCCCCAGAGCGTGGAGGGGCCCACAGCCTGGCTCTGCACGGTCTCCCACGGGCCTCTGCAGCGAGGTGAGCAGGGGCGTCTGAGCCGGCACCCCCGCTCCTCCCCAGAGGTGGAGCAGGACCGCCACCCGCCCTCGCAGACGGGGGCGCACCACTGCGCCATGCCAGCTTCTGGGGCCGGGGGGGCTCACCATGCCCTCCATGCCATGGGGCAGCAGCAGCACGATGCCGTTCTGCCGGACCCACTTGGCCTGTCCCGGGCAGATGAACTGGTCGATGATGCACTGGGCCGTGTTGTGGAAGTCCCCAAACTGGGCCTCCCAGAGGACCAGGGCGTTGGGGCTGGCCATGGCAAAGCCCAGCTCAAAGCCTGCAGAGCGAGGAGGCGGGACAGGAGCAGAGTGAGTCGGGGGGCTGCGGCGGGCCGGGCGTGGGGAGCAGGGCCGGGGGGCCGGGGCACTCACCCAGGACGCCGTACTCGGACAGCGAGCTGTTGCACACCGTGTAGGGGGCCTGGTTGGGCCAGAGGTGGTTCATGGGGATGCAGGTCTTCTTGTCCACGTTCTGGTCGTGGAGCACGTGGTGGCGGTGGCTGAGACACAAGAGCACAGATCAGGAGGCACGGCGCCTGCGCTCCACCCCGCCACGCGGACCCCAGAGGTGGCCACTTCTCCCGGAAGTGTCCACGTCAGAGCAGGGCAAGGCTGCTTCCGGCCGACACGGGATTCCCTTCCTGAGAACCGCCGAAGCCCTCCCTTTCCGCCCGCTGCGCTTTGCGGTGCCGCCAGAACCCCGAGAGCGTTACCTGAAGGTGCCGCGCTCCACATCCTGGCCGCTCAGCCGGATGTGGATGCCCTCCTTCAGGAGCGAGCCGAAGGCCATGTACTCCGCCAGAGCCCAGTCCACGGTCCTGTTCTTCACCAGCTCCCCGCGGGTCTTCAGGATGCGGCTCAGCCCTGCGCAGACACGGTGCTCACTGGCCGCCCGCTCGCGACAGGAGCGGCGCCCCGGCAGCCCGGCCAGCAGCTGTGATGTCCCACCCTGTCCTCCACCACGGGGCCTGCCCCACGCTGGAGAGAAGTCCACGGACGTGGCCCAACACCTCCACAGGTCAGTGGCGTCCTCACCCCCATGAATGGTGAAGTTCTCCACGGGCACGGAGCTGGCCACGTTCCCGATGTGCGCCAGGATGTCCTCCGTCAGGCCCGTGGAGGGGCAGGTCATGCTCCTCGGCTGCCCGTCCAGGGTGAAGAAGCCTAGGACAGGAGGACAAGCTGCCACATGGCCGCCACTCTTTCAGGAACCAACTGGGGCCCACAGGGGGTATGGTGGGGGCGGGGGGAAGCACACAGGTGATGTCCCTGGCTCACCAGGCCAGGGGGAGTCCAGCCAGTGCTTGATGTGCAGGATCTTCTCGTCCTTGGACCTGGTGAAGGCCTCCTCACAGATCTTGTCGTACTTGGAGATCTCCTCCTGGAGGGTCGGGCACAGCGCAGCCGTCGGGGGGCGCTCCGCACAGTGCCCCCCCCCCCCCCCCCAGCGTGCGCCACCACTCCAAGGCCCACGAGAAGCCCACCGTGTCCCCGTCTCTGGCCCTGCCTTCGTCGCCACATCTGCTGGCTGCAGGCCTGCTCGGAGTCGGAGCCCCGGCCCGCCTGGCCTCTCTCTACCCCTCCCGGCCAGAGCCAGGGACACACCTCGTACTCGGGCTGGTTGACCACGCCCTGGGACACCAGCAGCTCGGCGTACTTCTGCAACACGGGCTTCTGCTTGCGGATCTGCTTGTACATGAGCGGCTGCGTGAACATGGGCTCGTCCATCTCATTGTGGCCGTTGCGCCGGTAACACACCTGGACACAGCAGGGATACGCCGGCGTCAGGACCCAGCAGCACCTGCCGCTCTCCTGCACAGCGCCCCAGTGTACCTCCTCTACCATCTAGACCTCCTTCGCAGCAGTCGCTGTTACAGGAGATGAAATGAGGGACTTGGGGACACCCTGGCACAAGACCCCAGGCTAGGGCCTCAGGAGCCCTGGGGAGGGGCAGCCAGGTGACCCCGGAAAGGCCCATGCATGCTGGCAGGTCCACTGTGTGTGGGAGCCCATGTGGGGAGCCATGGTGGTGAGCCTGCCCCCCCAGGGAGCCCGCCCCAGCTCCACGGCCACAGATGGAAGCCACTCACCAGGTCCACCACCACGTCCTTGTGGAAGGTGCTCCGCCACTCGGCTGCCACCTTGCACACGTACATGACGGCCTCTGGGTCGTCCGAGTTCACGTGGAAAATGGGGGCGTTCACAACGCGGGCCACGTCAGTGGGGTAGGGCGAGGAGCGGGCCATGCGCGGGTCTGTGGTGAAGCCGATCTGCAAGGGACATGCTGCTGGGCGGGGCTGGGTGCTGGCGGTGGGGGTAGGGTGGGGTGGAGTGCCACTAGCTGGTGGCCACCCGGCCAAGCCTGCCCTCCTGAGTCCCCAAGTGGCTATTCAGGTTTTTGTGGGTTTTTTTTTTTTTAATTTTAAGATTATTTATTCATTTGACAGGGAGAGAGTGCTCAAGCAGGGGCAGAGGGAAAGACAGAAGCAGGCTCCCTGAGCAGGGAGCCTGACTCAGGATTCGATCCCAGGACCCTGAGATCACGATCTGAGCCAAAGGCAGATGTTTAACCGACTGAGCCACCCAGGTGCCCCTGCGTTTTTGTTATTTTATTGTTTTGTTGTTTCCTATTCTGCAAATAAATTTCATACATGTTCAACACATACAGTTTAGAAGACAGTATAAAAATATAAAGTTAATTTAAACAAAGTTACGTGTCTTTCCACTAGCTACAGTGTAAATATTTTGATGTTTTTCTTTGCCCATGTACATATAATACATATTTAAAACTTTGGACGCTGTTCTATAACTCAGCAGTTTGTTCACTTAACATGATGAGCTAACATTATGAGCACTGTTTCTTGGAAAGGCAAATTTAAGGCCTTCATGATACTCCTTACTCTGTCGAGGTACTAAAAAGTCTATATTCATAATTTTGTAACCTGCACTTCCTGTTGATGTCTACGAAACACGTCACACCACACACACTTGATAATACCACAGTGGTCACGCCTGAGCTCCCGGAACATGACCCACTTCTGCTGCAGCGGGGCCTTCGCGGCCCAAACAACACACACGATCTTCTTAGGCTTGTCGCTACTTCACAGTTTTTATACAATTTCAGATTTGAGAAAGTTGAAAGAATAACACAAAGAATTCCCAGAGTCTTTACTCAGATTTGCCACCTGTCACTTGTTTCCTTTTGCGGTCCACGCTCTTCCTCCCCGGCCATGCAGGGCTAAGTTGCAGGGAGTCCGCATTTGCTAAAACAGGGACGTTCCCTGACCAGCCTGACCAATTCCACGTCCCAGAGTGGGTCACCTGACCCACTGTCTCCACACACACACTGTCTGCCTCGTGACGCCCGCCCAACCTTTCTGCCCCGGCCCAGTGTCCAATCCAGCACCCTGTGCCCTCTCTCGTCTCCCTTAATCTGGAAGACTGCCCGCCTTCCTTGGTTTTCACGGCACTGGCATCCGTCCGCTCCCCGTTGGTGGACACATTCCCACACAGGTTTGCTCCAGCGAACACTGAGCGCACCCGGGAAGGGAGCACTGAGCCGCAGGCCGCCGACGCCAGCGGACTGCTCTCGGCCGTGGGGGGCCCCTCGCGCTCCGGCCAGCAGCAAGTGCGTGCCCCGTACCGCCTTGCCCCCGACTCTGACCATTTCTCCGGGGTATTAAATGTTTTCAGATTATACAGCACTGCTTCCTAGGACTTTGCCAAAATGTAGGCCAAGACTTCTGGTGTCGGACACGTGGCTTCCTTCCTACTTTTCAAAGTAGTACAATTATGGTTTTGACAAACACAGACAAATCTTGAGCATCTGACAAGCTTCCTCAGGAGAGAATTTCAGAAGGTCAAATCCTAGGCGTGGTCTCAGAGCAACGGGGGGAGCGTCAGGAAAGCAGCACCTCTTCTCCTGCTACAGATGTCACGGGCCTGACCCCCACAGCAGGTCATGATCTGTGGCGTCCAAGTCGGTGTAGAGATTAAAGATAACTCGAGCAGAACCGGAGCTCTGACGAAGTCTGGGAATTTTACATAATCTCTTGAACACACTGCCTAAAGAACAGGTCAGAAATGGTCAGGAACTGACGAGAACACTAAAGAACGATGTACCGGGGAGAATTCTGATGAACACGTCTTGAACAATCTCATCGTCCCATCCGGGTCTCCTCATTTAGGGAAACAAGTGCAGGAACTGTGAGCAGGTGGTCACGATATGCACGTTGTTTCTAGAACTTCGTGGGACGTGTGCTGCTTTGACAAGACCTCGGTCCGCTGGCCGCCCTCCAAATACCCTCTGCCGCTACCAACTTCTGTGTCTTCGAGCGCGTGTGGATGTGCGCGCACACACGTGTGGACACAGGGAGACGGGTGTATGTGCACAATGCTCTCTGCTTTCCTCCGCCTAATAGATCCGGTGGATCAGTCAACAGTCTTCTAAATAGTTTCACTGCAGTCAACTCACACGGTGCCTACTTACAGGCCAGGCGCTATTCTGAGCATTTTATGTATATTGATTTTCATGAGTTAATTCACTTAAGTCTTCTAACACACGTATGGGTACACCATTAATTACTTAACCAGCTCCCTATTGACCTAGTGATGAAAATTCTGGCTTCTGGTCTCAGTGCAGCAGCGAGGTCTTCAAAGACAGCTCTGGGTGGACATCCAGCAGGGTGTACCAGTGCGAAGACCCCACTAAGTGGAGCTGCTGGTGTGAGCGCCAGAGACCCCAAAGCCAAATGGTTTACTCTCGTCATCCCTGGCTGGGGCCCCGTCTCCTCCAACCCTGAAGCTAGTCCCCGGCTGGAGCCGATCTGACTGCTGGAAGGTCTTCCTGTCACTCAGCCGAAGTCTGCTTTCCGGTGGCTGTTACCCACTCTGCCAGCGCACTCCTGCGACACGAATCCCTGATTCTGGTAAAACAGCTCTCATGCTCCCAGGGGTCTTCCGGCTTCCTGGGTCACTGCTGGTATGGCAGCTTCCAGACCCTGTGCCATCCTGCAACACTCGTCTGTCTCGCTTAAGTGCCACCAAAATGCGTCACATTCTGTCACGAGAATCTCGACAAACCCACGGCCCACCTACACTGTATTTGTGTCATGTGGTCCTCATACTGGAATGTTATTAAATGTTACATTGCAAAGAAGGAAGGTTTCAAATCAGTGATCTAAGAAACCAGAGAGAGGAGGCTAAATTAAATCCAAAGCAAGTAGAAGGAAAGGGCTAACAAAGAGCAGAAATCAACGACTAAAAAACAGGGAAATGCAGAAAATGCAACGAAACCAGAGCTGTTCCTCTGAAAGGAATGGCAAATCTACAGCCAGACCAACTACGAAAAAAAGAGAAAAGACCTGAATTATCAGGATCAGGAACGAGAGAAGGGCCCTCAGTACAGACTCTAAGAACAGAACATTACAGACTCCTGGACCATAAATTCTACCACTTAAAGAAGTCATCAGAGCCACTCAAGAACAAACGGGTCACTTGGATAGTCTTATATTTACTAAAGAAATTGAATTTATACTTAAAACAAACGTTCTCATAGGGACTTCCACTTCTGCAAGATGAAGATGAGCTTTTCCCTATTCCTCCTGCCAAGGGCGGCTGGAAACCCAGGATGTCATATGCAGTACAAACACGACACTCCGACGGCAGACAGAAGGCAGACCAGCCAGGGACCTCAGGCTCCGAGGAGCGACTCAGTGACAGGTCCCAGCACTGTCTGTCCCCTCCCGTGCCCCAGCCTGGGCGCTAGAGAGGCAGGAAGCGCAGACACACCAGCAGGAACAGACGAGGAAAAACCAGAGGACCAAGAGCAAGACCCTCAAAATACAATATTTCTTTTTTCTAAAAATTAATACTGTTCTATTTTTGAGGTTTTTGAATTTTAAATTATTTATTTATTCTAAAGTAATCTCTACCCCAACGTAGGGCTCGGACTCCTGACCCTGAGATCGAGAGTCGCATGCTCTGCCCACTGAGCCACCCAGGCGCCCCTAGGAGCCAACATTCTTAGATTAGTAACTACCCTGTCAGCTCACGGCCTTCCCCACCCCCACCAACAAAGGCTGGGGTGGGGGGCCAGGCCAGCGGCAATGAGCTGATTAGGCACCCACCCCTCCCTGGTGCCAGGGGAGGCCAGGTGCAGAGCAGCACCAGAGCCCATGTGCCGCCCTGCCTGCCCTCCCCTCCCTGGGGCATGGAAGATACGGGTGGGGAACCTGGACTCCCACCCCCAACTGAGATGCCCAGGAGGTGAGTCCCAACAGAAGATTTTTTTTTTTTTCAAAGATTTTATTTATTTATCTAAGACAGAGAGAATGAGAGAGAGAGAGCACATGAGAGGGGGGAGGGTCAGAGGCAGAAGCAGGCTCCCCGCCGAGCAGGGAGCCCGATGCGGGACTCGATCCCGGGACCCTGGGACCATGACCTGAGCCGAAGGCAGACGTTTAACCATCTGAGCCACCCAGGCGCCCCCGTCTTCTCACTTTTTTTTTTTTTAAAGATTTTATTTATTTATTTGAGAGAGAATGAGAGAGAGCACATGAGAGGGAGGAGGGTCAGAGGGAGAAGCAGACTCCCCGCCGAGCAGGGAGCCCGATGCGGGACTCGATCCTGGGACTCCAGGATCATGACCTGAGCCGAAGGCAGTCGCTTAACCAACTGAGCCACCCAGGCGCCCCCAACAGAAGATTTAAGTGAGATCTGAGTCTCGACACAAAGCCCAAGATGTCCTGGTTTCATCTGAAAAACAACAACTGGAAAAACCTCAGGTTGAATGAGAAAAGCAATCATCAGAAGCCAACACCAAGATGACACGGATGTTAGAATTATCTGACAAAGATATTAAAAAAGACATCATAAAAATGCTTCGATGAAAATTATGAACATGCCTGAAACACATGAAAAAATAAAAACTCTCAGCAAAAACATAAAAGAAACGAGAGTGACGTGAAAAGTTTAGAACCGAAAAATAAAAAAATGCTGGGGGATCCGGGTGGCTCAGTCGGTTGAGCGTCCCATTCTTGATTTTGGGTCAGGTCACGATCTCAGCGTCAGGAGATTGAGCCCTGCGTCAGGCTCTGTGCTGAGTGTAGGAGTCTGCTTGAGACTCTCTCTTCCTCCCTCTGCCCCTCCACCCTACTCGTGCTCTCTCTAAGAAACAAAAACAAACAAAAAACTGGGGGGAAAAACCTGGATGGAGCTCTCTACAGCAGAACGGGGGCAGAGAGGAAAGAACCCGTGACCTTGAGGTCAC